TGTATCAATCTTTCATTTTGCTGCGTCGAGAGGTATTTACGAACGCGACCAATATTTCTGATTGCTAGAGACGACGATTTACAGATGGAATTTATATGCGAGCGTAAGTTCATCACAGAATCAAGCATGACGCCTAGGTCTCGGACAGTATTAGATAAATTAATGATATCATCTCCAATATTGATATTACAGAAAGGAGGATTTTTTGAGAAGCGTGAGAGGAAATGAATGATTACTGTTTTTGAAGAGTTGCACTGCAATATTCTGTCAGAGGAGTTTATCTTTATGTAAAGTTGGGAATCATCAGCATATATCATACAGTTAATGCAATGTTAATTTTGGCTAAAGAAAACGCAATCCAAGATGCGTAAGCTTACATAAGAATGCATCTGTGCACCTTCGAGTTGATGATAAGTTTTCAAATCTGTATTTTCTTGCAGAGAATCAACGTGCACGAGGAACCTGAGTGAGAAATAGTCTCAGGAAAAATATTAAGAAATACACCTCGTGCATGTATAGAAACAAAGAAAGTAACTTAAGCAGACTGAGTAAATATCCTGACTAAACCAAAGGCAAAGCGTTTACCTACTAGCTGAAGACCTTTTTATGGCCTGTCTCAGTCTCGTGACACTTCAGTGGCTGAAATGACCGATGTTCCAAGAGCGATCAGTAAAATTAAAACCATGTTAAACTTATGTAGAATTATGCGCACCACACGTTACAACACATGGTACATTTGGTTTACTAACTACTCAAAGTGTTTTGTCTTGATCAGTGTTTCATGATTAGAGAGAAAAGAAAGGTTGTGAATCATTGGTTGCCAAGATTCTTGAATGAGCTTGCTTTCAACAAGGATTTATTTACGTTTTAGACCAGTAATGGTCACTTGTTGAAGTGACTTCAGTAGTATTTAAATATCAGTATGAAAGTGTGACTTAGCTTAAACTAGACATAAGTGCTTCAAATTATCGGATGAACTACGGATTGAATGAACGGCCATCTTTGAAAACGAGGGATGACACGAGGCACAAGAGTGTTTTTTAAAAAAATGTAAATAGATGGCCCTGCATTCTGTAGTTTTATTCAGTTTCTATTACAAGATATCTTTTACCTTCTCAAAAAAGTCTTACTAAAAGCTCGTGGTAATTGGTTGTAACCGGAGCTGCAAAGAAGGATTTCTCGAC